GAGCGAGCGAGCGAGCGAGCGAGCAGGCGCAGTTACGAGCCCTTAGGAGTAGTGGTTGTCGTTGCCATTGTGGGGCCGTGGGTTCGCGGGAAGGCAGGTTTTCACTCGGAGGAGCCTTGAAGGAGGAGGACCAGACAGGCCCTCGCCGGCATAGGCGGGAGACGGGGCAGCTCCCCGTCTCTCAATCATGCGATAAGCAAGTGCATTTGTTTTGCTTTCACGGCAAGTCCGACGGCAAGCTTGTGTTGTTACAGAGAGAGAGAGCGACAACACAGGGAAGTCTTTAAGGCTCGAGTCAACATCCTAGGCAGGGGTTTGGTTCCGGTGTGCCTGGAAGCAGGGGTTCTCGAACTGGGTTGCGCTTACAGAAAGAAAGCACACAGAGTGAGCCAGATGAACGGCAGACACAGAGCGAGAGCAGGTGCCCGGGGTGGAGAAGCTCGACTGAAACTGCCGCAGTTTTCACTTGCCCATGCTGCAAGATGCGACGTGCCGTTACCTTTCTAGACGTTTGACATTTTGCGCTGAGGAATGTCAACCTTGACGGGCTGGGCATTCAAGGTCACCACGACTACCCGAACCACATAGACATCAGCTCAGCGCAGACCGACCGTGGCTAGCTGTTAGCGGTCCTTCAGCGACGTCCGATGCATGCATGATGCAATGCCTGCTCAGGCAGACATTCTGGCGAAGCTCCGTGTAGGTGAGCGTCACCCGGAGGTGCTCTCCCAGGCGCTCATTTTTAATGCTGCGATGTCAGAGCTGGCACAGCAGGGTTCTGAAGCATGATGCATGACCGAAGGCAAAGCCAGCTGGTGCAGCAGGCGCTGGTTTTCTTTGAGGCAGCACTCCACTGTTGGACAGCGCACGAGCATGTTTCACTCCACCTGGCCACAAGTGACCCAAGAGTGGACATCGATCGATTTCATTGTTGCAGACAAGAAAGCCTAGCTGACCTAGCTTTCTCTGCTTGTCGGAGACCCTCGCGGTTGTGCCCAGCGGGCAGCGACCAGGGCAACATAGCATAGTCGCGCACAGAAGGTCTTTATGTGCCCCACGATACTCGTTACCGCGTGTAACGGTGCCGGTAGTGCATGCATGTGGCTTTAGTTCCCGAAGCAGTTGAGGGCGGAACGGACCAGTTCAGTGACAAATTAGCCGGCTGCACAGGTACGGAGGCGGGTTGGGGGTGTCAGTTTAGGATGCTGTCTTGGTTCCTGACTGTGCTGTTTCAGGGGTCGACCGAACTGTGGACTCCAGTGCGCGCTGGCGTGCGAGGGGAGCGTCCTCTCCCATTCCCTTGTCTGTGGAGTCTGTGGCGAAGAGAGAGAGAAGAGAGTACACCCCCACATCTCCCACCCGGAAGGTAGGAAGGGATCACTTACCACCACGAGATGGAAGCAGAGGATACGGCACATGGGCGGAAAGCTGACGAAGAGGCTTCTTCACTCCGGCGACAAGACCTGCGAGTGGCAACGAATGCAGACCGCACGTGGGCGACCAAAATGGAGAAAGCCATTGAAGAAGAAAGGCGTGCAACACGGGAACGGCGACCACTGAGGAAGAGAGCAGGAACCTGATATAGGCCGTGGGACGACCGACCACCGCTGCCACGGAGAAGGCCGCATGAGACAAGGGGGGACAGCCGGCGGTGGACTACGACGAGCACCCGCCGACAATAGACAGATGAACGGGAGACAGAAATCCTCCAACCCAAGCGTCTGCAGCGGCTGAACAAAAGAGGCCTGGAAAATACGGAACAAGCTGGCCTTTCGTGAACAGCGCCGACTCCGACGGCAATGTGCGCGACGAGATCGGGGAATGCGACATACCCATGGCGACTGACGGGACAGAAGCCATCAGAAGAGCAAACCGAGCTCTTAGGGTTAAAAATTAGATTGGAATGTGCGAAAGGGAACGGGATCGAGTTTCCTCAAGGAATTTGTTTGCTAGTTTTCTTATGTGGGGGATGGTACAATCAGCATGATTACCTGCACGTCATGCTACATTCTAGACGGGCCGCTGAGCCAGAGACACCTGCTGCCACTTGGGCCACCACAGCCCTTCTGAAGTCGTTTCAAGATGTTTGAAGAACCTTTTTCTAGACACTCCACTAAGTCAATTGCGGAAGCACGTTGCCGTCGCAACCTACCTCCGTCCTGTTCACAGTGTCCTTGCTTTTTGTCGAAGGGGCGACGGCATGCTCTACACGCTACACAATAAGCAACTACTGCCTTGTGGGGGATCTCATGCGGAATCGTGGCCGACATCCGTTGCGCATGGTCTTTATGTTCGCTGTTTTGCTGTTTGGCCAGACACAGGCAGCGCAGGTAGAAGCCTGGAGCAAGGCCACGCACCCGCCCTCCGCCGAACCCCGCTGATGCTGATCATGCGCGCCTGTTGGGCAACCCACTCAAAAATCGGCACAACATCGCCTCGCGCTGCCTGGGCCACTGAGGCCGCGCCGGCCCTCCTTGGGTCGTCCACGGGTGCCCCATACCGTCTAGAACGGCCAAAAAACCCGTGCGTTGTCGGGTGGGCCTTAAATGAGGTCCGTGCTGCCGGCCGGGGGAACAACACAGGTCCGATGAAGCAGGGTCGGCGGCACCGCCGGCCGCCCCGCATGCAAGCTAAGCTCGCCTGAGGCGAGGATTCACAGGGCGCATGCGCTTGGGGACCGAGCACTGCGCAATTTACGGTCCGATTACTTCGGATTCGACCCCTGCTGAATTGAACTGTCCAGCCTGATATAGGGCCGCCCGTTTCACGCCGATTGTAGCGCCGGGCGCAGGACGTTTGTGTCCTTCTTTTTGTGAGGAAGGGGGTGCGGGGGATACCCGCTCCCTGGACCTCGAGCAAGCAAGCAAGCAAGCAAGAGAGAACCTGCACAGAAAGCCATTCTAGCTGCATGGCAGTGGGCGTGTCCTCTGCAGAGGTTCGCCAGTGGTTCGCCCAAAGGGCCTTGCGCAAGAAAGAGAGAGAGCGGGGGTGAGCGCTGTACGCGCTTGCCTTTTAGACGAGAACGACCGTGAGAGGCTTGTGTCCAGGCAGTGTGTACGCCAGGTTTTGTCCGATACCCTCGGAGATGAGGTCGCAACCTGCAGACTATATGTCCCTAGCAGAAGGGAAGGTGCTGGCCTGCTCTGGGTTCTCGTGACCACTTGGTTGCAACTAATGTGTGCGCACTCAGGGCAGAGTAGAGGTCGCACACCCGGCCTCCAACCAGGCGGCGCAAGAAGAAGCGCTCAGCATCGCACCTCACTGAACAGGGCACGTGCACTGGCCGAAAGAAAGGCGGAAAAAGAGCTCGCATACGAGCGCAGGTGGGCTCCTCAAACAGCGGGAATGCACAAACAACCAATGAGGGAGGGAGCAAGTGCAGTGAATAGTGCCGCCTGTTCGTTAATTACGGCCGAGTTGTGCGTGGGGTGAGAGCTTGTGTCCATTGGCCGCAGCCTTGCGCTGACATGACAAGTGACATCTGTAGCGAAGCTTGGCAGCCCGCACCACACTTACGTGAGGGTTCTGACTTCATGCATGATTCGGTGACAACACCCTTACCCTTCAGCAGAGTCAACAGCACCAGTATCTGATGCAACCTGACACATTTCCGCCATTCATCAGGTACAAGCTCGCAAAACATACAACTATACTACTACACTATACTTCAGTTGGCCATCAGGCCATCAGATCGTTTGAAGCGAGACCCGCAGCTGACGATGGGCGATGACTGGCCCGCTCGTTACGCAGATTTCGAGGCCCGTCAGGGCAACGTACCACCAGCATTTTGGCAGAGGGATGAGGTTGGAGCAAGCTCGCAGAGGTCCCGACAACATTCACCAGCGCGGCTTGCCTCAACAAGGTGGGCTCCTTTCACTTGCAGCGACGCTCTGCCAATTCCGACTCTGACCCAGTGGGAGTCTGAAAGTTTCGTTACACGGTGCTGGCAGACCTGGCCTGAGCTTTCCATCTCCTGGCAGGCCTTGATCCAGGTCAACTTCGAGGATGCCAGGAGCCCAGTCAAAGAGAGGTGGCGACACATCTCAGCAACAAGTGTGCGCACTGCCATAATTTTGGAGATAGGGTCAACGCAAGACAACACCTGCTACAGAGGTGTCAGTGGAGGCAGACCAGTATGATCTTGTCAGCTCGTATGCGAGAGCCTCAGCAAAGACGCTCCCAAGGTTAAAGGCGACAGCTCCAAGCTCGGCAGGGGCCCGGGGCACAAACTGCAGCTTATTGGCTCAGAATTTGCGGCTTTCTCCATTCCCCACGGGATGGGTGCGGCGCACAACTGGCATGAAGCTCGCTGCCTACCGCAGGAGTTCTTGACGGCAGTGCTGTCACTGTAGTCACGTTTCCGTGCGCCAGTGCATCATTATGAAGACTCAAGAGACCAAGGCAACGTGTCATTAATCGTAATGTGCCAGTGTCTGTCGCGATTCGATCACATTGTCTATAGGTCATTTGACCTAGAACGAGCAATCGTAGCTTGCTTTTCGTTTGCCGAGGAATCCCAAGCCGTGGACGGCGGCCTTGCAGAAGCTTGCAGCGATGGGGTTTATGCAGGCCCACCGGTTCGATCTTTAAGACGTTTTCGGCTTCGCATACTTGCGGCTCAGGTTATAGCAAACATCGTCACGGATGTGTCCGCAGTGACTGCATGCGCGCTGTCGCGGGCGTGGCGCTCTTCTCTGAGCAAGCTGGCCTGCACAGCGCAGGAATTCTTGCGTAGGCATAGGCGTGGTTGACCCGCGAGTGCCCCGCGTCGGCATCTGCCAAATAGGAAGCCCGGCGATCTGGGAACAACTTCCTTCAAGAATGGATCGAACATCCCGCAGCAGCGACTTCTGTGCTGAGCAGCATTGCGAAGGCACAAGGGGGACTCATTCAGCGTACTTCCTGTCTCGGCAATCTGTCGATTGCAAAGGCTCGCATTGCCCGGGTGTGCACAGAGCTTTTACAGGCCCCTTTGTCACGTTTAAGTTCGTGCATCTGTTTCTCGTGTTTCCAGAAGGCACCCGCTGCAGATATCTCAGGTCATGAGGGAGGTGGTCCTTGAGACGAACGATTTCCACTATGGTGCAACTGCCAACGCTTTTCAGTCACCCGGCCGCGGAGGTGTCGGACATTTTCAGATCAGTCACTCAGTCAGGGCCATCTGGGAAAGCAATCGGAAGCAAGGCTGCAAGGCCGCTGGCAGTTGGCTTTGGATCTCATCCGCAGCATGGCCAGTCGGGAGGACCCTTGCTCGCAGGAATCCGTTACGATTCCGCATTCCACTACCCGGGCAAGTTGGTGGATCCTTAGTTGACACCGAGGTGAGAGCTAGCATCATCACGGTGACTTGTGCCTTTGGGCCGTGGGAAGCTTCTTCAAGCCTTCTGTCCATGGCGCTGCAGGCCGTTGAGAAAGTGGAGTCGTAGGCCGTGTACCGTATGTTGTATGATTTTGTGTCACATCCGGGATGGGGCAGAAGCATAGAATCTAGTGAAATGCAGAAGCACGATCTGCACAGGATGGCCCGAAGCCCAACGTCGTGAGCTTCACTGCCTGCATAGGCTCCTTGGAACCTGATGCTGTGACTGCATTTGCTCGGCCACTTTACCAGAGAAAAGGCAATGTTTCCGGAAATTCTCTGGCCAAGGAGAGCGATGCGACCTGGGATCGCGGCCTGTCCCTCATGATCTTGATGCGACAGCAGCGAGTCAGGCTGGGTCAGATGCATGTGAACCTGCAGCTTGTCACAATTTGTCACACCGCGTTCGCCCAGAAATAGCTCTGCAGCGAAGTGCAGTGTAGTGAGTGCGCTGTCACGACTCCGTGTTGGCTTTGAAGGCCGAACTGCGTCACAGTCAGCGCTGCCCTTGGATCAATTGGTGGCCGCTGGCGGCTGGCGCTCAGCATCCTCAGTTCAGTTTCGCAGGCGTCGCCTTGAAAGGTCTCCCCACCCGCCTGCGAAACATTTTTGGTTTCGCAAATTCAGATTCAATTGCTCCCTTGCCCTGCATTGCCCTGCAGTCTGCAGAAACCAATGTTTCAGTCCACTGGACTGTACGCATTCGGTGGAGCCCAGCACTCGGCACGCAGACCGCGATCGGGGAGCATAAATAAACGAAACATGGTTGGGGGGAGGCAAAAAATGGTTGGGGGGAGAGGTTGTTCGGAGAGTCGCGAGCTGCGGTGCACACAATTGATGTGGTGTGCGGTTGCAGCAAACTCTGCATGTGTGAATGCCGGTATGGTTTCAGTGGATCTTTACCTTTCCATGTTGCCCAGTTTCTCGGCGACATACCGTTCCATCAGCGGTCACTTGCGAAATCCTCGCGCTGCGGAAACCGCTTCTGCCCGGCAGTTGCAACTGATGCCAGAAGGTTTCACGACATGCCGCAAACTGAACAGATGTTTGAAGAGGCTGGCCTGCGTCGTGATACGGTTGGCTTGAATGCCGCGATGGGCACAACCGCCGCGGTTCTGCGACGACGGCTAGCCGAGGAGCTGTGCGACTAGACATATCTTCATATTATCTGAGCATATCTGAGCGCGGTGTACTGGCTAGGCTAGCACGAGCCACTCCCGAAGCAAAGGTGGCTGTGAAGAGATTGTCAGCTCTGGCCAATGGCTGGCCGCCAATGTGCTGCTTTGGGATCTGAGCTCTTCCGCAACGTGGCAGAGTCGATGATGATCAGCCCCTGTGCTTGGGTGTGAAACCCAATCCTAGAGTCCTCGAGAACTGACGTGCGGGAGTCATAACAACGAGCTGAAGCTGCGGGGTTCGGGGCACTGGCTGGAGATATGATCATAAAACGTGAGCGCCGAACCCGCCGGACAAGCAATGACCATCATGACCACAAGCAGACCCAGCCAAGGCCCTCTGTTCCGATGTAGTGAGTGGCTTGGTGGCAAGTCTCTGCCAGAACAATGATAACCACTACTGTTACTCGTAGTACCGTCACGGTCCAGTCTTCAGAAGGTTTCGCTAGACAAGATGGACATTCAGGAGGCTGTGTCATCTGGCCCTTGGAGCATTTCATGCTTTTGTTCCAGGCTTCAGCTCTGTCGTGGCAGCTTGCGAGCTGAAGTGGAGGATGGCTGTGGCTATTTGCGAGCCGATGTGCCTGGCAAAAGCCCAGCCGAATCTGATCACACATCGCTGCACCGTGGTTGCAACAATCTTCTCAACCTTGGTTCCACCGGTTTTCTGCCTACTGTGGCCCATTTTCAACAGTTTACTGGCGGTCTCGTGTGCTTTCGAGGCCTTCTTCGAGCACTTGAGAATGGTGCACGTTGGCAGTCGGCACTTGACCTTTTGTCTTCAATGGCAGTTCAGAGGATATCTGACAAAATCAGCCCGCAGCTGAGCTCGTATATAAAATTAGTCGACAGCACATCCAACTCTCTTTTGCCATGGTTAGGGGTTCTTGAGGTCAGCAGCGCGCTGCAGCTGCTTGTGCAAAGTCCGGTCCACTTGGAAGGGCGTTGCAGCAGATATGCGGCAGTAGTCACTCGGAGCAGATTGGAACACGATTTTCCTTTCTCTTTCATGGGCACTGCTGTGTTCACACAAAGTGCCCTGCGTCCCGCTCAAGGTCTGGCAGAAGACATACTGACACACCTCCTGGTGATCCGTGTAGCTGAGCTTCTCAGCCAGATGGAGTGCAACACATGTCTGTCCATGGTTCCCAATCACGTAGCAACCGTGAATGTGCGATTGGGAAGCGTGCCTCGTACTGGCATGCGGCTCAGAGGTTCATTCCAGCCCATCGAATCCAGCTAAGGGCTCAGCGAGAAGTACGTTGGCTGCCGCAGCTGCTGGGCGTTCTGAGGGACCTGACCCTGCCGGAAAATGGTCAAAAGAGTGGCGGAAGGTGATGGAAGTGTGTAGTTGGGCATGACAGACCCTGCGAAAGGTCTTCCAGAGACACACGGACCGATGGCTTTACAGCCGGGCACCGAGCAAGACCAAGCATGGGCTGCACAGAGTTGCACATTGAGCCAGAGTCGAACTAGCAATCCGGAGAGTTGACGCAAGCGAGGTCACGAGACGATCGGCGATAAGTGCTGGCCAGGGCTTGTATGCATCCTTGGATTTGCGGTCGAATCGCTTCAAGTTCGCATCAGTGAGCACATATCAGCGCTCTGCAGCTGCAGTCCGGCATTCAGAGCGAGCCTCGTCACGTTTGAGTGGGGCGCAGTGCCGTGGGCAGGAGTGGCCAGAAGAATTCCTCATCTGCCAGCTCCAACCTCGCCGCAGCTCAGCTGACATGGGCATGCTGCTTGCATGGAAGCCGAGTTCAGATCGGCTGTTGATGGACAGTTCCGCTATGTTACTTGTAGTTTGTATGGACCAGAATCAGAAGGCACCAGATCGCGAGAATGTACTTTGTCCGGTTGCTAGGCAGTCCGAGCGCAAGCTGGGCGCAGAATAATACGCCGTGCACCCCATAGTCCACGGGCCGCACTATCAGGTCTCTGAGTGCAAAGACTGCCACGGCTGTTTGGAGCAGACGCTGGCCTGCAATGCTCGCACATTTGTGATCGTTTTGTGCCCGGCCTGCCGAAGCACAGCGTTGGCATTGACGCGACTGGCACACAAGTCGAGGAATGCATCGCTCAGTACTGACCACTCCTCAGCCTGGGCGTTTGGTGTTTTCAACTGGCCGCGACTTACCTTGCACATTGAATTGCCATCTCCAGAAACCTTTCCAGGTATGGCAGACCGGCCCTCAGACATGTCTCTCGTGCCACAGCGGTGGCTTCACTAGTTCCGATGGCAGCATGGCTTTTCAGACTTCCTTTGTTGGCGTGAGGTCATGGGCTGGGAGGAGCGATCCCTTTGCCGCTGCTTGGCTCATGTCCAACCGACAGCGCAACAACTCACTAGTAAAGTGCTCCTGCTGCTGCTTGGCTGTTCAACTCAACGACCAAACACGGAATGACTGCTGAACTGTAAGGCACCGCTGTTCGGGTACTGCCGCATGGCTGGAAGCCGTGGGGTGCTTACAGTTCGTCCGGCACAGCCATCGTGCTTTCGAATCTTCACAGGTTCACAGCCATGTGGGGGTTTCCGAAAATAGGGGACCCTAATATAGTAATAGGACCCTTACTATAAGGACCCCAAAATAAGGTACCCCTTAGTTTCGGAAACCCCCATATGGGACTGAGTTAGCATGTGCCCTTTTGACCCGGTCACAGACGCACCGCAGAACGGTCGTAGACCCGCAGAGCCTCCGGTTTGAGGTGAGCACTGTCAGTCACTTGCGATTCAATCGATCACCTAATCATAGGACACCCCGCTTTGAAGGGTGCTTTTCGAATGATTGCATGCATCTACCCATGGGTCCCTTTTCATGACCACACTTGATATCACCTCATCAGAGTGTCGCCTTGAATCTAAGCAAGTGTGTGATGACGGTACATATATGTAATGACAGTCGACAAAGGCCCAGACACCTAGTAGCGGAGACGAGTTGATGCAGGTGTTTCTTGCCTGAGACTGCCGGAAAACGGGGCGTGTGTTCTGCAGACAATGCAGAGTAGGCGATGGGACTTTTGCTTCCGTGTTGACTTACATAGCTTATACGGAGATGCATTGCTGTGAGTGCAGAACTGCAGATCTGTGTCGGGGAAACTGGTGCACCCGAACCCACCACAGTGAGCCGAAGGTGTCCGAGTCTCGCATGGTATGCCGTGGTCTCCACTGCCAGCGGGCCTGGTTCAGTTTGGTGTGCTGTGGGGTTGTCGCTAGGCCTCATCGGCTGTTTCGTTGTTATGGTCATTGCTCTGGGATGCTCTGGGTCTACTATGAGGAAAGGCCACGGACGTTGAAAGAGAGCCAGGAGAAGAGGGATTGCTCGAGGCACAGGTGAGGGAATCATGCAACGCCTGGTCTCTGCTGCCCTGAACCCGGGCGAATCCGAAGAGAGGGCTGCCGTGCCGAGGAGCGTGCCAGAGTGATGGATCTAGGCCGGAAGCTACAGGCCAGGCCAGGAGCGTAGGTTCGCTTAGGTTCGCAAGGCAGGTCATAGAAGGCAGCGAGCCACAGCGGCCAGACTCTGCTCTCGAGGCCTGCAGGCGGCAACTGAGCGGTCGTGATCCACACCGCAGCCATTTGAGCTCAGTGCGATGTCTTCGTCTCCGTTCACATTCAGTCCTGACATGCCAGACGCGAGTGTGCTCGGGTCTGTTGGAGGAATGGGGAGTCCTTCAGAGACCCAAGTACTCAACGACTTGACAGCCAAGACGGTGAACGACATGGCCAAAGGCCATTGCGACGTGAACATGCTGAATTC